GTGTTTGACACTTTCTCTAATAAGCACCCTTCTTTTCCAGGTGTAGTTGATGAAGAAATGGAAAGAGAAGACTCATCCATACAGGAAAAATTGGATATGGAGAATAAAGGACTTCAGCAATAGGAGGTACTATTTTCCTTTCATTATGATTGTAATTGTTCATGTACGAATTTAAAACTTATCTGGCTCGACCTGGACACTTTGTTCACATGTACTGAATAATCTTCCATTCTGCCATCCATAGTAAACTCATGTTCAAAGATAACCACACTTTGCCCATCATAACCTAAATCAGATTTCCATCTCCTCAATGTGTAGGGTGGTTCATGCCCAGCTTCTGCTCGAGGTGCAGCAATAGATGCAGCTGCATCAACAGTGGCAATTTGTGGTGATTCATTCGCAGTTCATCTTCTAGACCAAGCCCCGGACGTCACTTACCTTACTTATAGTGTATACAAGGCCTTCCGTGCGGTCACCACTACTAAGCGTCTCCATATAGCAAATTTATATGGCCAAGCACCTTTGCTGTGGTCGCCACGGCTGAGCCCTTATATGTTGCAGATCTTATATGGCCAAGTTTGGTTCTGGTTTGAGAGAAAAGAAGTGCTCTTAATTAAGGTAATGGTGTCTTCCAAGAGGGGAACAGGCAAGTGCATAAGCTAGGTAGAGACACGTTAATAACAGTAGGAATCAAAAAGATCCATTGGAATATAATCCACAAGCTGGTGCCCTGGTGAAGAAATTAGTGTAAGTTAAGGAGATACAGTAGATGTTGACCATTAAGGGCTTAAGGCCAACTGTAGGACATCAGATTTGGCAGTGGATCAACACTGATTTGCTTCTTGGTGTTTGTTTTTCACTGTTGGCTGTTCACAAACGCAAGATCGTACTTCATACAGAAGCTCTTCTATAATATGTAGGCTTAGCTGATTCTCTGATTCAGATGAAGCTTTTTTAGAATATGCAGGCTTAGCTGATTCAGAGCGAAAGGAGATGTCAGGTGCACCTTATAATAAGCCTGCTTTAATCCTGCGAACCTTTTATCCGTTTCTTGGACCTCCATGCTAAACCTGCTACTGACGTACCATTGTGAACGTTTTCTCAGTTTCTTGGATGTTCATGCTAAGCCTGCTACTGACGTAGCATTGTAATAAGTGACCTGCTAAACCTGCTACTGATGTAGAATTGTAATCAGTGATCTAAAGCGTGATCCTTAATCCATCTGGTTATTCCTGATACAATGGTAAAACCTATTAGCTCACATTTCATATTTTGTAGCTTTATATTTTTACATAGAAACGTACACTATAAAAACCTCTACAAGCTTGAATATGAGAAACAGGTCGGTGTGGGCGAAGCAAAATTGTTGTAAGCCCCAGATTGCACACATACCATTTTTGTCTTAATTCCAAATTAGTCAAAGAAGAAAATAAAATGGCAACCCAGCATTACTATCATGCAACACATTCCGTCATATGACTCATCAACGGGGCGCGGCGTGCCGCCGCGCGGGCATGGCTAGTATAGCCTAGCTACTGCCTTCGCCCTTTGTACTAAGCCATCAAGTATATTTCTCTTTGAAATTGTGGTATGCAACCGGTCCTTGCACAAGCCAGCAAATAATTATTTAGAACACTCCCCTTGTAAGCCGTGTTGTTTATCCGAAGGTCTTGCTTTAAGGTGTCGAAGAACCATTTCCAGCTACACTTGCGCCGCACTCAACCACTGCCATAGCAAACTAGGAATATACAATCATTTGGATGCAGTCAAGGCCTGGCCCTTGTTATTTTCACTGTGACATCCATGAAGAAAACAGCCTCTTGAAAGAAGTACAATGTACTCAAGGCACCACTGTTTAGGTTTAGATACAAGCCATTGCATGATTGGTGTGTCTTAGCTCCCTGCCATAGTCCAAAAGCACACGATATTGCTTTAGCTCATCTCCATAGACAACCTTCAGAGCTCCCTCTCAGTGCTCATTAGCTTGATCCTATTAGGCTTCGCATTATACTCTTTTGAGGCAAAAGACAGTGGTGCTGACGATGCATTTCAGAGGGAGAAAAAGTTACAGCAGCAGCATTTTTTTTTTGACGGGAAGGCTAGCTTTATTAACTCACACCAAGGTTACATCCACTGCTAGAGGTCTTAAGATAAAATCTGGAGGGATATCTAACCAAATCTCAGGGTTATTTGAACTCCCCCATCTAGCTAGCTCATGTGCTACTACATTTAAATCTCTAAAACAATGTTCAACTACCACCTTCCCGAAATCTCGAAGTATATCTCGACAGTCTTCCAGAATGGGAGCCGCCACCATCGAGTGACCCTCATTGTTCTGCAGCGCCTCCACCACTGTCAGACTATCCATCCATCCTAATCACAGCATTGTTACAACCAGTGCTCCGAAGTAATTTGAGGCCTTCCAGAAGTGCAGCAGCTTCAGCTGAGACCACGTCCGGCACATGATACAGACGAGCTGTTGCTGCCTTGATAAATCTGCCCCGATTATCACGAATGACTGCTCCACTTGCTCCTGTATAATCAAGCTCTGAAAAAGATGCATCTACATTAAGGATCAGCTGTCCTTCTAGAGATGGTCTCCATTTGTTAATTCGCTGGGGTTGTGCCACCTTACCACGAGCTTTCACAAAATTCAGTGTTAGAGCATGCAACGATAGAGCCGTTTGTTCAGAATTTTGCACTGGTTCTCCTCTGACCAGCTGTCTTCTCTGCCACCAGATAAACCAACATGCAGTCGCTAATAATTCAGGGATTTGCACTGGTTCCATAAACGGGCGTTGGAAAGATTTGTCGCATAGAAAAAATTCGATCACTGCAGAACCAGCTCGATCAACCAGAACTGCGTTCTGCATTTCTTTCCCTACCCCGAGAGCCTCCCGGATAGCTCTTGCCCGGGGGCAATTAAAGAGCGCATGCATGATATCCTCAGCTCCACTTGAGCATACAGGGTACTGTGAGTTGTTCCCAATGTGGCGGTTTGCCAGGACAGATAAACATGGTATGGCGTTGTGTAGGCATCGCCATAGAAAGATTTTAACCTTCCCCGGTAGTTTAAGATTCCACAAACTCTTCCACACTGGATGCGATGATGATCCTCCATAACCAACAGAACCCGAAGCAGTAACATAGGTTTCTTCCCATTGTTTGTAATACGCGGATCGAACAGAGAAAACACCATTCTTTGTCAAATGCCAGGCAATGTAATCTTCTGTCCCTTGACGGTATAAGGGAATCTGAAGGATACGATCAGCATCAATAGGCCAGAAATTCTCTCTTATAAGATCTTCATCCCATTCACCCAAGTAGGGGTCAATCAACTCATTCACCCTTGAAAGGACTCTGTTCCCTCTCACTGTTAAAATCTTCCTTGATGAACTATTCGGATCCAGCAGTCCTCCCAAATATCAATCTTTGTACCATCCCCAACTCTCCAGATGCTTCCTTTCTTGAAGGTTTGGATTCCTGCCCATATGCTTTGCCATACATAGGATGATCCTTTCTTTAACTCACAATTCAAAATATCTCCTGAAGGGTAATAACGTGATCTCAACACTCTAGCACAAAGAGAGTCATAGTTATCGATAAGCCTCCAACATTGCTTAGCAAGCATGGCTAAGTTAAAACAATGAATATCTCGGAAACCCATCCCACCCCTATCTTTGGGGACACACATTTTCCACCATGCAAACCAGTGCATTCGGCGTTGGTTTTCATCGTCACCCCACCAATATTGCGACATTGCATCAGTGATCCCCTTACAAACTCTTTTTGGGAATTTGAACACACTCATCGCATATGTAGGGATGGCTTGGGCCACCGCTTTCAGCAAGGCTTCTTTTCCTCCATAGGATAGAGTTCTCTCTTTCCATCCATTAACCAGAATCTGAATTGTCTCTATTAGGTGTTTAAAACAGTCCACCCGGTCCACCCCAATCATAGATGGGAGGCCCAAATATTTATCCAAGAGAGATCCGGTCATGATATTCAGAACTTGACACATCTCTGCCTTCACCTCAACATCGGTATTAGGACTGAAAAATGTTGAACACTTGGCTTCACTCACCATTTGGCCTGATGCAGCAGAATACTCATCTAGTATTGCTCTCAAAGTATTTGCATTAGTAACATCTGCTCTCATCAAAATTAGAGAATCGTCAGCAAACAGAGTGTCTAGATGAAAAGGAGGGGAAAAAAGGCCTAGAGGCCAAAAGGAAAAAAGAAGAAAACAGGGGAGCTGCATGGGCTGTACTCTTTTGTAGTCTTTGAAAATGAGCCTATGGCCATCTTTCTCATCATCTCTAAATGATTCAACGTAGTTCTTAGCAAGATAAGGAGCTTTCATGGATACCTTTGGTATTTTTATCCAATTTTGTTCCTCTGTGTATTGGTGTCAGGTTTCTTAAGTTTTGTATGTTCCTACATGTTCATGCCTCACCCAACAGTTGCCCCCGAGGAGCTAAAAAGATTGCACGCATATCGCTCTTTAGTCATTGCACAATTGATGCTTACACACAAAGATGGGCATGGAGTTCACACAAAAGCTAAAAGTTATATCCTGATGTAGGTTTTGGTTCCTGCTGTATGGATTAGCACCATAGGTTCTTATGCAATTTCTATATATATCCTCAGAACCACATAGTATTTCAATAACACATCATTTAAAATTTGGAAGGAAGAAAACAAGCGATCTTGCATAAATAATCCTACACTGGATTGTATTCTCATCTTTCAGAATTTCCTGGAGCAACACACGAGAAATTAACCGAGGCAAGTATTTGAAGAATACATCAGCTTGAACTTTAGAGGTAACAACAGCTATTGCATAATTCTAGACTTTATTGCCCATCTCTCATAATTTTTTGGGGCAACACAAGGGAGAAATGAACCGAGGAGCTATAGATAGGATTGATGTTTAAACTTCTCAAGAACACACAACCCAATAACGGACAGACGGCATACCTAACTTGCTCAGGATTTGATTAGTCCTTTAGGCCGCCAGGGAGGCCTGCGCAACAGATGAGGTACTCTTGCAGTGTACAGGGGCGAGCAAGAGGCACCAGATTCAGCTCTGGTCCAGTGTCAAGAAAAAGATTCAGCTCTGGTCTGTTATGTCGGTGGTACCATTTCATTGATTCATCGGGAGAAGCTGGCCCGTCAGTGGTGAACTCAAACGGTGGATCCGCACTCTTGTCCGCCAGATACCGCACACCGACGGGAGGGTAGCGGGCACCGGTCGCCCCCAGGTGCACCGCGTTCCCAGCCACGCACAGAAACGTCCTGGCAGAGAGGGAGAAGCATGCCGTCTCCCCGACAAACACCGCGCAGTGGCGGCCAATGTCCTCCACCGGGACGAGCCTCTTTCCGGACACATTCACCTCGAACACCTGGATCAGGTTCCACCAGCACTCCTTCAGCCTGTTCTCCACCCTGATCACATCCATGCGCTTCCTCCTGCGCGTCATTATTCTCCGCTCGTCAGCGCTGAGGTGATCAAGGTCGAGGTAGTAGCGCACCATGAGCATGCCGCCGCAGCAGTGGTCGTCGGGAGGGACAAGGTAGGAGGACCCTTCTCCCCTGGTTTTGGGCTGGTTCACGACTATGGGCACCAACTGAGGCTCAGGGCAGAGCCTCACATGCATTATATTCCCCTCAAGAGTCGCAAAGTAGAAGCGCCCCTGCAGGGTTGATGCCGACGATAGCCGATATGATGCGTAGCGATTGGGTCTCCCGATCTCGTCATGCTCAATCACAGCCCACCGCTGGTCGCCAGGCTTGGCGTAGACTATGGCACACCCACGGTCAATCATCAGGAGCACGACCGACGCTGGGGAGGTCTCTTCAGAGATCCCGGCGTAGATGAGGCGCTCCGAGGACTCCAACAACCGCTCTTCATAGATGAACTCCAGGCCAGCAGCATACAGTTAACAAGTCCGACAGTAGCATCAGTCCTTGTCAAAACACTCTCATACCTTGTGTGGCGCCAACAATACCGCCCATGAAGTGATAAGTACCTTGGCCGTCTCACCTTTTGACATGCTCTTACATATATTGAAACCCCAATGTCTTGGATCAATGATTCACAGGCTTGCAAGCATCTCCATGAGGTCTTCATCCAAAAGAGCCCAGGTGCACTTAGACATTGTAGAATAAAGTAGAGCATGCTCCCAAGTATCTTCATATGCATCACAAATACAACAAGACCTGACAGTGGCGAGCAATTGCAAAACTGGAGCAATCTGAAGGCACTACATGCAGTGTTCTTTACTCTCCATCGGTTTCTGCAAAATTATGGATTTCAGTTGTTGGGTGAGTACTGAGTAGAGATGCACTTATAAAACATGTCAGATTTATTATCGACAAGCTTATGTCAAGTGCAGCTAAAAATCAGTCGTGTCAGTCAAGCTCAAGCCTTATTCTCCAATAGGTGGACAGGTAACCAGCTTTGCTGCTGTCACTAACTCGGCCTTCATTGACAAGTCCAAAATAACAATAAAAATTTAGCCTTCATTGCACAATGTTCTAATATGTGCCCCTTCTAACCAGCAACACTTTGTTCTTGTTCTAGAGCAAGCCAAAAACCCTTCTGGCTACTCCAGAAAGTGGTTCTCTTAGAGGTTGCTCATCCTGCTTGTTGAAGCCATCATCACTGATTGTATGATCCTTGTCCATTGTTGGTCCAACCACTGAACTGTCTATCAGATAGTTCTGCTCCTTTGCTGGCTCAGTAAGATCTGATGGGTTCTCAGTCCTTTCTGGTGACCTTCCAGCTTCTTCAACCTTAGCTTCGTTGTTATTCTTGTATACTTCATCCAAAGGTTCTGACGATGACAACGAAGGTATCTCATTTTTTGTTGAGACGAGAGGCTCTACTCTGTCATCTGCAGAACTTTGATCGATATGATAAGTGGGGACCTGGTGCTCCTCTTGCTCTTCATTGCCATAAAGGTGCAATTTCTCAAGAATCCTCCAAGTCACAGCGTCCGGTGAAAGGCCATTCCTTCTCATCTCCTTCACCAATTGATAGGCCAACTTCTTCAATCCCTGCTTGCAGGCAGTGTCAATGAGTATGTTGTAGCAGACAACACTGGGACAAACCCCACAGTCTGCCAACTCATATAGGAAATCACATGCCTGCTCCAGTTTCCCCAGTTTGCAGAGGCCTCTCAAGATTGCACTGTACACATAACCGTCATGTATCCCTGATGGCCAGACTACATTGTCCCAGAATGCCTTTGCTTTCTCAAGCTGCCCCGCGTTGCACAACCCTTTGATCACCAAAGTGTGAGTTACAGAGTCGGCAGTGATGCTACTTGATTTCATTTCATCGATGACCTGCATTGCTCTGTCAACTAGCCCAAGGCAGAACAATCCCTTGAGGACAGAATTGTAAGTGACAACATTAGGGGCGCACCGGCGCCTGGGCATCAAAGTGTGCAGCACATGGAGGGCTTCTGCATGCTCACCTACATCCAGGTATCCCGAAATGAGTGTGGTGAAGGTGACAACATCAGGAGCACAGAATTGCCCATTAATCATGTCGTCCAAAATCTTTCTAGCCTCCTGGGTACGCCCAACTTTGCAGAAGCCATGAACGACAGTGTTCATAGTGATCACATCCGGTTTGCAGTCCCCCTGCAACATGGACACGAGCACACTGAGCTGCTCGCTTGGGTTGTCCACAGCACGCAGTGCCCCAAGGAACATATTGTATAGCCTAGTCCTGGTCTCCTCGTCAGGCTTGTCATGCCCACATTGGGGCTGCAGCATCAGCTCCAGGACATCCTTTGCCTTGGCAAGCTCTTTCTCCCGGCAGAGCTCTTCGACGAGTACCTTGTATGTTACCTCTCTCGGTCGGTACCCGGAACGCACACCTTCCATCACCAGCTGGTACGCCCTCAGGCGTCCCCCGGGCTTCTGGCTGGTGCATAGCCCGTGAACAATGCAGTTGTAGGACAGGGTGCTTGGGCACAGGCCCCTCTTCCCCATGATGTACACTATTCTGGAGGCGCCATGGTGCTGTCCAGCCCGGCAGAGAGAGTCAATCATCTGGGCATAGGCAAACTCGTCCGGGACGAGGCAGCGCCGCTGCGGCATCTCCTCGGCGACGCGGAAGACAATGTGGAAGAACCCCTCGACGCACAGGCACTGCACAAGGTTGGCAAAGGCCGCGTTCTTGAGCCCCTGGTCCTCGTCGTGGCAGCGCTCCATGCTGGGCCAGAGCCGGTTGTCGACGAGGTCCATGGCCGCGCCGACGTCGCGGCTGCGGAGGAAGGCCTTGACGAGGAAAGTGCGCGCGAGGGAGCTGGGGGCGAGCCCCCAGTGGGGCATTTCATCGAGCAGCTTCTGGGCGGCGCGAGGGTCCGCGGCGCACGCGTAGCCGTCCAGCAGCGCGGCGTAGGAGACGGCGCTCGGAGGCACGCGCATGCGGAGGAGGAGGCGGTGGGCGAGGAGGAGGAGCCAGGGCGCGGCGGCGGAGGAGAGCAGGGCGAGGAGGCGGTTGTAGTTGGGGAGGGAGGGCGCGAACGGGGCGGCCTGGACGAGGCGGAGCGTGAGGAGGGGCGTGCGCGCGCGGAGGAGGCGGGCGAGGAGGCCGTTGGCGGTGGGCGCGTCGAGGCGGCGCGACGCGGATGCGGATGCGGAGGAGAGGAGGAGCGCGACGCGGTGGTGCGCCTCGGCGGAGCGGCCGGACGCGCAGAGCGCGTCCACCAGTCCGCCCAGGTCCGGCTGCCCGGGATGCGCTGCGGCCGCCATCATGTCGGGGGCGAAAGGAGGCGCAGGGTCGAGACGGTACCCGACGACGCCGTCGCACGGTCGCTCTAGTTTCTGCGATCTGCCGCGGGCAGGTTCCCGCCGACGAGCATCGTATCGGGGGCCCGCCTGAACTTAGCGGGTAACTGACAATTCAGTTCAGGTTACTAGCTTTTTTTTCCTTATTTTGCTGTGATCACATACTCGTTCTACTTTTACTGTTATATATACACACCGCACCGGTCCGCGGACCGTAAAGCTGGCCTCATATGCCCGGTTGTATTTCGATCAAAATTTAATGAAATTGAACAAATTTGATGCATATTTAAACAACCCAAGCGATATCCATTCATACTTGAATAATTTTACATAAAAGCGGATAGTTTTTGACATATCTGAACTGTCATGGGAGATAGAATGGAAACCATGGTCGTCGTCCTATGTGTTGATGACCACAGATGCACGAGAAGGACCTCTGATCCATCGCCGCCATGACTAGATCGATGGTGACAATGGCCGCGAGGGGGGATGCGGTTCTTCCATCTCTAAGAGCAACTCTAGCAGACCCCGCATCCAGCTGGCTCGCAAAACGCGTTTGCAGTTCATGCAAAACCGCATTTACGGGCTGGCTCGGGCTGTCACAGATGCAGACCCCCAAACGGACCCGTAAAAAAGTATATTCGCGGAATATACTTTTTTACGGGTCGGCTTCTGCGGGTTCTGCTCGGACATAGCGGCGACGGCCCGCAAACAAAAAACGACAATTCTCGCGTTTGACATAGGTTTCCACAAATAAGTTCAAATTCAAACCTAATAACACAGTTTTACGCGTAAATAAAAGCCAAGTTCAGTATGACAAACACAAAAGAGGGCCTTGCAAAAAATTGCGCCTGTTTCATTGTAGTCGAATACGGCGAACGGGGCTTTATCGATGTCAACGGCGTTGGTGTCCAACAAATTCACAAACTCGGCAGTTGCATTGTTCGAACCACCGTGATACGTCTTCAACGTATCTATAATTTTTGATTGCTTCATGCTATTTATCTACTGTTTTGGACATTATTGGGCTTTATTATCCACTTTTATATTATTTTTGGGACTAACCTACTAACCGGAGGCCAGCCCAGAATTGCTGTTTTTTTTGCCTATTTTAGGGTTTCGAAGAAAATGAATATCAAACAGAGTCCAAACCGAATAAAACCTTCGGGAACGTGATTTTCTCACCGAACATGATCCAGGAGACTTGGACCCTACATCAAGCAACCAACAGGGAGGCCACGAGGCAGGGGGGCGCGCCTACCCCCCAGGCGCGCCCTCCACCCTCGTGGGCCCCCTGTTGCTCCACCGACGTACTTCTTCCTTCTATATATACCTACGTACGCCCAAACGATCAGATACGGAGCCAAAACTCTAATTCCACCGCTGTAACTTTCTGTATCCACGAGATCCCATTTTGGGGCCTGTTCCGGAGCTCCGCCGGAGGGGGCATCGATCACGGAGGGCTTCTACATCAACATCATAGCCTCTCCGATGAAGTGTGAGTAGTTTACCTTAGACCTACGGGTCCATAGTTATTAGCAAGATGGCTTCTTCTCTCTTTTTGGATCTCAATACAAAGTTCTCCCCCTCTCTTGTAGAGATCTATTCGATGTAATTTTCTTTTGCGGTGTGTTTGTTGAGACCGATGAATTGTGGGTTTATGATCAAGTTTATCTATGAACAATATTTGAATCTTCTCTGAATTCTTTTATGTATGATTGGTTATCTTTGCAAGTCTTCGAATTATCAGTTTGGTTTGGCCTACTAGATTGATCTTTCTTGCAATGGGAGAAGTGCTTAGCTTTGGGTTCAATTTTGCGGTGTCCTTTCCCAGTGACAGTAGGGGCAACAAGGCACGTATTGTATTGTTGCCATCGAGGATAACAAGATGGGGGTTTTATCATATTGCATGAATTTATCCCTCTACATCATGTCATCTTGCTTAAAGCATTACTCTATTCTCTTGAACTTAATACTTTAGATGCATGCTGGATAACGGTCGATGTGTGGAGTAATAGTA